TATTACTTAATATTTAGTATTGTTTCATTATTATGATTTATAATATTTACAACTTTATAATTTTATCCTGTTTTTATCTTAAATATATATGKGTATCTACACATTAATCACAAGGTTCTAACTATATTACCTATACAAAATCATGAATTATTACACTATGTATTCGCAATATTTTATTTTTATAAACATTTATCCCCTGTTTATTGTATTACATTAATTATAATATCTTATACTCAGAGTAGCATAAACAATAACTGAACATTTATCCGATTCGTGGTGTGCTAATGGTGCTTTAAACAGATTTGGTGACTTATGATTGGTAAATTAAATGTTAGTAAACCATTAAAATTATATATTTTTATAAAAATCTAATAGAATTTCAATCTTCTGAAATGATTGTAAGCTCGATTTTAAATGTAATAGATGTTTGTCCTGAATTTAAAATGTAATTTAAATATTTAATAAATAATACTGGAAAGTCGCTCTGCGTACAATTTATAGATAGATACTAGGTTTAGAGTGACGAGCAGACGAGATAGACTCTACATATTTTGAGTAGGTTATATTTAAATAGTTTAGGTTTTTGATTAAAATATTAATTTTTTTTGTAACCCCCTTCCCCGAAATTAATTTCTATATACGCCACTGCTAACAACAGCCTATAAAGAACCTTGTATTAAACTTTTAAGTTWTATGAATTTTATGACTTGCCGTAAATTTTATCGACACTAATTTTAAAAAAAAACTAGAAGTTAATTGAAAATGTCTCATGCTCATAAAAAATTTAAAATGTTAAATGAGTCGAAATATTTTGAAAATTTTTTAGGTACCTACATAAAAAAATCACATAATAAATATTCAGTAAAACTCTTATGTAACACATCATTATTTTAGAATCGCACTTAAAACCAAAATCTATTTTGTTGAAAACCGATTTCGCATAAAAATTAAATTTTTTTTAAATTATCTAGTTTTACTGGTGCATATCTTTGATGTAAATTTTGTGTAATTTTTTCCAATCATTTTAAATCACCRAATTAAAATTATGAGATATTGTCCAGTAATTAAATAGGTAGATGTATAATAACTAAACAGTATTATTGTTGTTTTTTTTTTTTTAATATCGGTTTTATTATTGTTAGTTGTTATTCAAAATATTAAATTGTACTCGACAATGACTTAAAATACTCATAATTATTGAAATTTAATTAGTATTACATTATGTTATATTAAGTGTCATATTCAGTAGCATTCTATTTACTATACCTACATTTATACATTTTAATATTGTTGACTTTCCGATATTAGATAAAAATTTTAAAAAGAAGCTAAAATTAACTGTATAATAGAAGGTGTACTCAGGGGTGGCTAAAGAGGCTTCAGTCCCCCTTCCCATTGACATTATGGTATAAATCTTGTATGATAAAAGGCTAAAGTATAAACCATGATATTTCTTAAAATGGTTTTTCAGAAATATTTTTTGTAATTATCAATTATGTTTATAGGTTATTACGGTTTCAAGATATAGTAATTAAGACCTAGTGTAATGTAATGGATATTAAATTTTGATTTACCTTGAAATTATATCTTTTTATAGCGTAACTATTTATATTTAATATTTGTCAATATTATTTTTSTAATCAATACTAAAAATATTATGTAACTTATTCCATCCTCCTGCACTAAGCCACTAAATAATTGATAGTCTCATCAGGGTAAAAATTATACTAGATCAAGAGCAACTTTCATTAATTATTTTAAAAAAAATCGTTTTAAAATAATGTGTGTTTAAAATATGTTTCTTTRTCTTTAATTCAGTTGTTTTTTATCATTTATATTTTCCTTATTTCAAAATAATTTAATTCTAAATGTATTTTTTTTTTTTAGAATGAACGTCAAAGACAGCCATTGTTGGGTTTATGTAAACAAGTAACAACAGCCATTAGTAATGGTGTTGGTTGGGAATCAAGAAATGATTCAAATACAGACAATTGTGAGCATCAACGACCAAATATGGGTCATACACACCAAGCCTTGGAGGATAACAAACATCAACCTGATAGTGGGACAACACCTGCTGAAGATGAAATTGGATTTAGTCACAAATATCTCAACAACAATGCTAATGGAGCAGCTGTGCACATCGATATACCAAATAATGTTAATGTATTGCCATCAAATGATAAAATTAGGATCCCACAGGAGAAATTTAAGACTTTTGTTGGTAAATATTGGGATATATTATTTTAAATTGTATAAATATAATGAACATTTATAATTAATTTTTAAATCTAGCATTAATATTGTTGATTGTGAATTTTTTGATCACTACAACATCCTTGGCTGTTGTCCATGAAAGAGTGCCTGATCGTAGTCTGTACAAACCATTACCGGATACATTTTTAGATGCTGTACCTGCTCGAGACTGGGCATTAGATGTATCAGAAATATTTATCATTGTCAGCACAAATTTAACATTGTTAATTATTGCCAGTCATAAGTATAGGTAATTACAAACTATTTAAGTAGGTTAAATCATTGCTACAGAGATGAATGGATTGAATTTTATTACTCATTCTTTTATGGTACAAAACAATATAATCATTAATTGTATTCATTTACAGCTCAAATCTTTTACATATTAAATTTCTTTTATMATTTTTTTAATTAATACAATCATATTTTTTTGTTTTTTTCTCATTTAAARATATTTTTCTAATTGATATATTATTTGTACTAATAATTCTCTTAGGTGAAATCTAAAATCTTTTATTTACACTTTTTAAAACTGATATAGAGATGTCCAAATGTTGTGTTACAAGACTTACAAATCTGGYGGAAAGCATATTAATATAATATATACAGGGGTCCCGCGAGGATTTACCCATTGCGATATCTCACGAAATAATGGAGATATCAAAATTCTAGTTTTATAATAAGATTCACTGGGATAAGAATTACAATTATTTCATTTTTCTTCTTTAAAATTTATTTTAATATTTTTTTTAGTTTTGAAGAAATAAAAAATGATCCAACTATTAGGAACACGGAAAGTATTCGGCCGGCCGTATGAGAATGCGCGCAGGTGCATTACATGTTTGATAAAATTACAGTATTAAATAATTYGCAATTTTTCTCGAAACTAAAAAAAATAATTAGAAATCAGGAAATTTATGAAAATTAAATTTTGAAACGYCAATATTTTCAGAAAAACAAATTCTACAAAATGGCTATCTTTATTTTATTTTTGGAATTAATTAAACGAAAAAATATATTTTTTAACTTTTTTACCAAAYCGTTAAAATAAATTAAAATATGAAATAATTGTAGTTCTTACCCTGTGAGTCTTATTACAAAACCAGAATTTCAATATCACCATTATTTCAAGAGATATCGCAATGGGTAAATCCTCACGGTACACCTTGTATATTATGTAATCTCCTCTAATTTAAAATTATTTGTTTTCAATTGTGTATAATTTATATATAAATTATTATTTGAATTTATTTGCTTAAATGATTTTTTTAGGTTTATTGTACTACGTAGACTGATGTTCATGTTGTCTCTTCTATATCTTCTTCGCTCTGTTACTATGTTTGTAACTGTATTGCCCACATCTAGTACCACTTATTATTGTTCACCCAAAGCAAACTCAACAAACCCATTACTAATTGTTAGACGTGTATTCCAGTTATTTTCTGGTTTTGGTTTATCAATCAATGGCAAACACACATTTTGTGGCGATTATATATATAGTGGACATACAACAATTTTAGTGATGAGCTACTTAATTACTGTTGAATGTATATACATCAAGAGTTATTCTCAAGTGGTATAAAAGCTAATAATAATTTTAATTTTCTATAGACTCTCCCAGGCGATGGTATTTATTGCATTGGGCTTCATGGTTGATGGCAGCTGTTGGAGTATTAATGGTACTCATAGCACACGGTCACTATACTATTGATGTGATTATTGCATATTTGGTTACTACACGACTATTTTGGATATACCATACATTAGCTAACAATGTTTATCTAAAGGTATGTTAATTTTAATTGGTCTAATAGTTTATGTAAAAGTGTAATAATCAATACTAAACTTTCTAAGTATTCCATGACTTTTTAAATTTCGGAGAAGAGGAAAATTTCAATGATCCTTAAATGGTTGTACAACTTATTAAAATAATGTAAATTTTACTTTACTTTGTTGGATATAACAT